CAGGGCCAAACCACCACAGAGACGTTGAATAGTTCCGATTTTGGAATCTGAAATCACATGAACACCCTCCCCCTCCCCATTTCTCTGCATTAACTACAGAATATGCCTCCTTCCAGCTTTTCAAATCTGTGTGTCTGATACAGGGCCAACAGACACCCCACATTTTGCAGGGTGAGCTATCTGTGCTCCCACAGCCTGTTGCCTTCCATGTTACTTCTGTTCCTGGGTTGAGCTGAGCAGAACCAGTTCAGAGATTTTACTTTTCAGCTCAATCTCTTCTAAGAGACTACTTTCTGAAGTTAACAGCATGGTTTTTGCAGCGTTCCCTTTCTTTCAGCGCAGGAGCGGTGCACTGCTGAGCAGCATCCCCGCAGAGGCCGGCGTGCGAGAGCAGCAGCATGGCTCTTAAGGACAGAGCAGAGCTCTGTGTCAGGGCACTCAGGTTAATTTTTTTATATTATTAAACCAACTAGGAATCGTTTATTCAACAAAGCAAGCAGGAAACCTTCAAATACCAGGAGAGGCACGAGACACACACTTTTTTTCTGATTAATTCTGTGCATGCTCAAGTCTCTCGGGTTTCCTGTCCTGAACAGGGTTTTCCACTTCTTTTGGGTGACTTCAGTTCCTTTAGGAGGAGTTTCTGTGGTGAGTCCACATCCACCACTTTCGTCTTCATGCTTCCCTTGGGATCAGCTGCATTACAGGATCCCTTACTCAGTCAACTTGGATCTGACTCATAATGACCACAGAGAATCTTTTACGTTGAAAAAGACCTTTGTGACCACCAAGTCCAACTATTAGATCAAGTCCAACATCATGTTGACATGTATTTTCTCTTCAGGACTGAAGCTTTTTTTCTGCATTGAAGTAGTTTCCTGACCCATCTGTGACTGTTTTATGGGAAAGACTAAATGTGAAGGCATGAGACATTCTTGCACTCTCCCATGAGAATTATTCCATGAGAAGAAAACTGTAATTTTAAATTCTAATATATGTTTATTGATCTGTTTCTATGCTTAAGTCAAAGTATGGTCAATATGCTTGAATTTTAAAATGCTTCCTCTAAATAGCTGGGTTTGCTGACATTCTAGCCCTTTACTGGGCAGTGATCCTTTGTTGTTACATGCACCGGACATACGCAGTGCCATGAAATCGACATCCACGGCCTGACTTGTTTATCTGATTGTCTCATCTCTGCTTTCTGTGTAACTCAGGTGTAATCTGTAAACTCTTCAGAGCCAAGACATGGTCTGATATCTACACCCAAAATTCCACAAGCTCTAAGGCACCTCGGAGACAAATATTTATGATTCCTAAAATTATGAAAATCTTACACATTCTCCTCCAAAATCTTGAAAACAGAAATAAACATACTGTTCACCTTCCTAATAATACCTTGTTCAACAGAGAAGCCAATACACCTGTATGACACTCGAGTTCAGATCAGGCACTGGCATGTTCCCAGGCATAAGCAGTGGCAACCTGTCTGAACTCTGAAAGGGGATGAGTAAATCAGAGATTTGCTTTTGACGTGGTCATATAACATTGAGATAAAACTTTTATTTTTCAGTCCTTATATCCAGAATATATACTCCTCACTGTTGCATATTTTGTTAAAACCTGCCAATGTGGTTTGACTCCAGAGGGAGTTTTGCTTTAAGAGGCTTGCATAAATTGAGACACCGAAATTATTTCTAGAAACAAAATGAGTTTCTCTTAGTTCTGGCATATCACACTGCATTTTCACCTTTGCTTCTTTTACAAATGAAAAATAAAAGTTCTTAAACAATTATCTTAAACTAAACAAACTGAAAGAGATGTAAAAAGTGTTGTTACGGGGATGAAAATAAAATTCTGTAAACGAGTTACACGCTGCATATGACTTGTACTCACGCTTGTGTGTCCTTATTATACCATTTTTTGAGACCTTTGCAGTGTGCACTGTATTCATCTTTATTCCCCAGAGCACTCAAAGAAATGTTGGAGATTTAAAAAAAAAATTTATTTTATTTTTATATGTATTTCTGTTCAGAGGAAGAGTTCCTAACATTAAAAACGTTATAATTGCTAAGTTTAACTAATACACTGGCAGTTGGCTTAAGCTTTTAACTAAATTATGCTGGGTAATGCTGACAGGTTGCAAATACCAGAGAGTTACTAAAAGGAACTAAAACATTAAATGCCAAAACTGTGATGGATTCCTTAAAAGACAAGGTCCACTTAAAGACTTACATAAACAGCTCTTTCAGTCTAAGATGTGAAATATGAGAAATTATTTTAAGACTGTTTTGTAAGGCATTTTAGTTAAGACAAATAAAAATAGACCACAGAGTCTGATTCTCCAAGCCTGATGGACAAGTCTTCCTTGGCCTTCAAAGGAGCTCCTTCAAAGACTGTACTTTCAGGATAACTTCTTCTGAAAATGTTTCATATCTCTATTTTGATTCCTACTCAATCATTTAATTTCTTTTTTTACTACACACACGAAGTTAATTTAAAAATAAGCGTATCTGTTTTCTTTTTCCTCTGAACTTGACACCAAAGCTTTTGCTAAAAAATAGAACTGGAAATGCCATTTTTAGCAACTTGCTGCTGAAAGCAGATACTGCTGATTGCATGAACCTAGATACAAATGAGCAATGAGCAATTAGGCTTCTAGATACACTAAATCTACATGCATTGATTTTTCCAGAAGAAAACCAAACAGCTTGTAGGAAGCAAGTAATTAGTAAATAAAAAACCCACAAAAGCAATAAAGAACGTCATAAACCTATTAACATTACACAGAATAAAATGTTGGAAGAATAATCTCCACTCCAAAGTAAAAATAATTTTCCAAAATATTAACAACAACAACAGCCTTTCATTAAAGCCAGAGCTGTAACAAAGCACACTTTGGGTGAATGCACATGCTTTTGTGACACAGAAGCACTTTGCTCAATCGTGTCTTCTTTTTTTATTGCTCCGTGATGAGAAGCTGGCTGTGGTACCTCGATGCCAGCCCCACTGCGCCACCTTTGCTCCTATTAGCCACCTCTTCGTCACAGCTCCCATCACCAGAAGAAGCAAGCAACTTCCAAACGCACAAAGTAAATCAACTCTCTTTCTTGTTGCCCACAGAGCAGTGCGTCAGTTCAGTCTGGAGGAGTGTGAGGCACTCACTGCGTTGTATTTCATTCATATTGTTTCCCAGGGGAATAGAGAACCTTGGTTGTCACTGGTACCTGATCTTCTAGACGGTCTCAGGATGCCCACATAGGCATGCTCGTGTTCTGGTGGGTGGCTCTGGGTCCACGTCCACAGATAACAAGAATATAACACAATTTAAAGCTCCAAGTGAAGGCCATGGAGGGAAGAGCTGCTTTACTATTCTGCCTCCCGACGAGAAACCACCATGCCATGGCTTGGGCAGTAGGGCTTCCCCTCAGCACCAGCCTGCCTGACAGCGACTGACATTCCAGACACATTCTCTTTAACTCAGCACTGCTTAGGTGGGAGCTTTATGGCTCCCAGATGCAGTCTCATGAGCAAGGACTGCTCTGATGGCTGGAAGGTTCCCCTCTTCTCAAGACTCCTCCCACCAAAACCCAAAGAAATGACAAAAACCCCTCCCATTGAGCTTATATACAACTTTGAGAATAACATAGTTAGTGTGATGCTTGAAAGAGATGGATACTTCCTCACAGAGTGGTGCAATTTCTTCAATGTTTTTCTTGAGACATTTCCCTAGTTTATCTTTTGAGTCTGTTATCACAAACCTGTCTTGAAAGGTTAAGTTTTCACCCCAGCAAAAGTCAGACAACTGAGAGGGGGAAAGAGGAAGAATCTTGAGAGCTTTGCCGATAAATCTATCTCCTATATATAGATATATATATGGTGGCCAATCAGGAACACTGACCTGGACTGGGACTATCAGCTCCTGAAGTGGTAAAAAAGAAAAAATACGTAACATGCACACTTGTGTACACATAGATGCAGGCTATGTTATAGCTAAAAAATGTTCATCTATAACTGCTCAATGTTAATTTTGACTTGTTCCTTGTTTTACTGTTTAAGATCTTACGTTTAACTTTGCATTTTTTAGTAATAAACATCTGTATTTAATTTTTCATTGGACTTATTATTCCTCCATCACTTTCTTAATTATAACCCTGAACTCCTGATATACTGCAGCATTCCTTGTCGCAACCTTTAGTAAGATAAAGCAACTATTTCTTACACATTCACCTTCTGCAATACAATTAACATAAAATAGTTATGACTCAAATTGTAGCTACCAGTGCTTACGATAGAATGAGGATTTTTGTTTCTCATTTATACTGTTTGTTGAAGAGGCCTGAGAGATTCCATGCACATTCACAGATCAATGTACAACTTTCAAAGCCTGTAGGGACAGTCTTGTATTTCCAGTTTAATGTTACCATCATGGAGATACACCAACCAGACACCCACACGGCATCTGGTGGCATCATACACCACGAACTAGCACATGAACAGTTCACAGTAATGAGGGCATGAATCATGTGAATTTTCCTTTTTGATTTAGGGTAACTTGATTTATGGATTGTGCAAATGGTTTTGTCTTTTGGATATCTGTCCTTGCCAGAGAAAAAGAACTGCTGTGGTGGTGGCTAACCGAGACGATGTCCACTCCTCCAACAGGAGGTAATATTGCTGTGATATTCCTACCAGTGGCCACTGTAAAATCCTGTGTATCCTGTATGCTACAGTGCAAGGTCAAAATTCACAGAGGAGTAAACAACACTATTTCCTAGAACAAGAGTACTTCCATACGGAGGCCAAAAGTGATAAAAAAGTTCTGTAAACCAAATCAATTGCACTAGAATGATATAAAATTATTGCATTAGAAACTGAGTTAATTAAAGTTTAACTATTGTAAAAAAAAAAAAGAGTATTTTTGATTCAGCTATTATGTAAACAGGACACACAAACTCCCCTAAATACCAACATCTATAGTGAAAGGACAATGAACTGCTTTAGAAAGGACTTTTCCCAGTTTGCTTCCACAGTTCTTTGGCTCCTTTAATGCTTTCTCTTTTCACACACTTCCAGTAACCTTGAACGCCTTGCTGTTGTGGTACCTGTTAATAAAGTTAAAGTATATTTAGCATTTACACAAAAAGGCTCCTATTCATGAACTGTGTAAATATAACATGTAATATACTGCTGCTGCTTCTATAGTTCATGCACATAATGACCAGTTCTTGGTGGCAGCACTCCTCCCAGATTCAAAACCAGTAAAGAATATTCAGTTTAAAATATAACTTCTATTCACTATCTCTACTTGTATTTCTACAAGTGTTAATAAGACAGTTGTGGCATTTAAAAACAAAGATGTCAGCTTATTACCCTCAAGCCTCGATGAATTCGGTTCCTCAGGACTCCAAGAAACTCGCTGTGACTGAGGCAGTCATCTCCATCTAGATCAAAAATCTTGAAGATTGTATCCAAAACATTATCTGAAAGCTCCTGTCCTGTTGCCACCTTCACTGCTCTCTTGAACTCAGCTAGTAAAGACATAATATTACATCATAGGTGACTGTAAACTTGCAAAGAAGTTGGAAAGCACATAAATAGCAGGATTCTGTGCAATTTACAATGTCTCATGGGTCCTAACCAAAGATTTGGGGATGTGAGAACTGGTAAACTATTAGGAGGCCTCAGTTCATGTGTTCTTGAGCTTGGCTCATTTTTCATAACACTAACTTTATTAATTGTGTGATGAAACTTTTGAAATGCACTGCTTCTCAAGCAACTGTAAGAGTGCTAATTTTTGCTAGAAATAGATGCATGCTGAAAACCTCTAGAATTTTGGCTGATACCTGTATGAATGGATGGTAAGTGTTTGCCTCACTACAGTCTCATAAAACAGTACTACCATTTTATCTTGAACCAGTCGCACACCAATTCATTTTGCAAGAAAACTCTTTTCCTCAGAGAACAGTATTTGATGATATGCTCCACCTTAATCAACAATCCCCTCAGCAACTTGGTAGAAACACAGACCATCAATGCACCATTTAAAGTGCATGGCTTTGCATACCCTCAATTTTGTTTTTTAAAGAAGTAGGCTACCTTCCCTTAAATTATCACTGAAGAGTCTATGAGGATTTATGGCAGAAAAAGCTGTCATATCTCCCTGGAGATCTACTTTCCTCATCAGTTTTTTGGTCTTCTCTCTTTACACTAGCATGTGCATTACGGTAATATCGACTATCCCCACTTTCAGTGGAGTTTTGACTCAAAGAAGATGAGGAAATGTGTAGGGTTGCCATAAAACAGCAAGTAGTAAGAGTGAAATGATTGTTGTTTATTAGAGCAAGCAGAATCACAGCACATGAATTGGAGGCATTTGTGAAGGCATCATGGAAGTGTGAATTTCAAGGAGGGACTGGAGGTTATTAAAGTATAACAGCATTGTAGATTATTTCAGCAAGTTGTCCAACTAAGTCATAAATATAGTGGTAACGTGGTTCTGCTTTCATAAACAAGTGCTGTTTATACCTAGTGCTATAAATATGGTTAGTTCTGAAGGTTACTAGAGGAAAGAGCACTCCTGACTTATCTCTCATCTTTGCCTCTTTGAACAATTCCTGTATAAATGTAAAAATGCAGTTAATTAATTTACAGTTGTTTAAATATAATCAAGTTGAAAATCCTTCTGTAAAAGGATATACCACGATTTGAAAAGGACATGGAAGATAGGATGCTTGTTATTAGAGTCTTAATTTTGTCTTTAAAAACATGTTAACTATTTCAACTCTTGAAGCTAGACCTAAATCCAGAAACTTTTTTGAAGAGAACATGAAGAAAAGGAGACAGATCTTCTAAAATGGTGGCGCACAATAATCTTCAAACCAAGAAAGGTCATCTTCTAAGAGTGAGAAGATGAGCTGCTAACTTAGAAGAAAAAAAGTTTAGAACAAAAGGACGGACTAGAGGGCTGTCTTATTTTTAGATAAGTATTCATGTGTGCACGAATATACACGTACACACATGCAAACAGCAAGACAAAGAACTTAGTGAGATTCAGGAAAGGATTAGACATGTATGCACGTAACATCCGTGAGTTACCCCAGGAGCTGACTGTTCTCGATCACAGTATGGTTCACTGCACAAACAGAGTCACAACTCTCTGTTGGTTTGGAATGAAAGCACTACCAGAGTCAACACCTTCACCATCATCCTTTGGCACTTAAAAATTGGATAACAGAAAAGTGAGCAAAACTCTTATATCTCACTTATGACTAGTATTCCGCCACTAATTTGTCCTCTTCCTTCACTGCTCTTTGTATGCCTTGCGCAACTAAAATGTCTCCCCTCGCTGGAAGAATGATGTTGTCAAACCAGAGAGAAGGACCACACACCCAGCTGGGAGCTGGAGCACATGATGGAGGAGGAGGAGCTAAGGGCACCGGGGAGAACAGAACTGTCACAGGGGGATCTTGCTGCAGCCTTCAAGTGCCTAAAAGGCGTTACAGAGCAGAGCGTGCTGTATTTTTCCCAAAGGTGCATGGAGGTAAGACACAATCGCTTTAGGTTGCTGCAAGGGTTTGAAACAGAAAAGTCTTCACAATGAGGGTGGTTATGCAGTAGAACAGCTGCCTGGAGAGGCTGCGGAAATGAAACTCTTCCTGAAGGGTGGACTAACTAGTGCGGAAAAGTCACAATTTGTAAAACCCCTAGTTTTGCCCTTCTTTGGCTCAAATCTCATCCAAACATTTCTCTCTCAAGAAAACTGAATTCTATTCCTGCCTTCTCACATCTCTCTCATCTTTTTCACATGAGCCCATCAAATATTTATTTCAATGAATGTTAATGCCTCATCAAATTTCCTTAGGAACTTTATGTTGCTATTTTCAAATAACTTATGAGAGCTGTCCTTCAAGTATAACAAGTAACAACCTCAGGGTTATAAAAAGTGCACATTTCCAAGAAAATTTATATTCACGAAACTTCTGTTGCATTGCTCCTATTTCTGCTATACGAGAAGGAAGCAACTTCCCTTAATCTTTATGTTAAACCTCACTTCACTACATTGTTTTTAATAGCCATGATTGCATAACATTGCCTAAGCACAGGGAGAAGGCAGTATGGAGGAATAAGTTAAAACGACCAAGATGCTGTAGACCTTGCAATAGAAGAAATTTCTGTTGTTTAGTTTCCTCAGAATATTAGTTTTGCTATGAGGGAAAAGCTTTGTTACAATGAACTGCTACTAATGAATGTATTGTTTCATGCATCCTTCTTAATCTAGAATTTAGGCTGGACTGAGAGAAGCCCTGCAGAGAAGGACTTGGGGGTGTGGGTGGATGAAAAGCTGGACATGATCCAGCAATGTGCGCTCGCAGCCCAGAAGGCCAGTCGCATCCTGGGCTGCATCAACAGAAGCATGGCCAGCAGGTCAAGGGAGGTGATTCCGCCCCTCTGCTCGGCTCTGCTCTGCTTTGCTGAGACCTCACCTGCAGTGCTGTGCTCAGCTCTGCGGCCGCCAACATAAGAAAGGCCTGGACATGTCGGAGTGTGTCCAGAGGAGCGACACAAAAATGATCACAGGGATAGAACACCCTTCCTATAAGGAAATGCTCAGAGAGTTGGTGTTGCTCAGTCTGGAGAAGAGAGGGCTCTGTGGAGATCTTACTGGGGCATTTCAATACTGAAAGAGGGCTTCTAAGAAAGATGGAGAAAGACTTTTTTTCAGGGACTATAGTGATAGAACAGGGTGAAATGGTTTCAAACTGAGAGAGAGTAGATTTAGACTGGAAATAAGGAAGAATTTTTTTTTATGATGAAGGTGGTAAGACACTGGAACAAGTTGCCCAGAAAAGTTGCAGAAGCCCCTTCCCTGGAAGTGTTCAAGGCCAGGTTGGATGGGGCTTTGAGCAACGTGATCCAGTCAAAGATTTCCCTGCCCATGGCAGGGAGGTTGGAACTATATGATCTTTAGAGGTTCCTTCCAAGCCAAACCATTCTATGATTCTACGGTTTAGTTTGCTGTGAGTACTTGAGGATATGATAGCACATGAGAACTTACAAATCACAGCATTCGGGCAAATTTACATTACTATTTTTTCAGGAAATAGAACTAATTTAGAATGAAGAGCACTACATTATTTTCAGACTTCACAGTACTACTTTGGGATAAATTATTTATATTAATTCCATTACACAAATGCATATTTTCTATAAAAAAACCCCAACACTAGAAGTATGCAGCACTTACCCCGTTTAACAGGAAGATTGGCTACAGTAAACATCTGCATGGCAATAGAAAAGTCTTCCAGGTTATTTGTAAACTTGCAAAAAGTCTTGAATTCTTCCAGACTGATATTCTAGAGTATCATAGAATTGAGATGATATATAATGAATAATACATTCAAACCCCATTAAACGTATTTCATTAAATCTCGTGGGATCTAATGTTTAGGTATGATTGCCAACTCACTGTCAATATTTGTATTTCTCAGCTAGCAAATTATCATTGCTATTATCATAGCAAATTATAATTTCTCAGCTAGCAAATTATCATAGTTACATTATTAGATACTCATAATGTAATCAAAACTTGCAGATACAAACAAGGAAGTAAACCAAACCACGCTTTTGTACCAACCTCTCCTGCCTCAATTCTGTCTTTCACATTCTGCCAGTAAATTTCATTGTCTTCCTCATCGGTGAAGTACAGCAACCATTCTGCAAAGTCTTCTTTTCTCATGACGTTCAAACCCTTTGAAAACTTTATGAATTCCATTTCTTGGACTTCGGTTTGTAGATTTTCCATGAATCTAAGCGTAAACAGATTATCCAACAGTTGCTATTTGCATCATTGTATCACTACTACTGCTTTATCTATTAAATGCAGCAGACAGTGCTCTTATAGTATCTTAATAGTATCACAGATACTATTGACATCAGTGTTTAAAAAGCCCCTGCTTTAATTTTCTCTCTCCATGCAGGTTTGTTTCCACGACTGCATTTCAATAATGACACCAGTAGGGCGCTCTCTAAGTCCGCACAGATGGCTGCTGCTAAGATAATTTACAGAAGCACTCGGCATCTAGTTTCTACTAACGTTTAAAAAAGTGCAGGTAATGAGATAAAATAATTGGTAAGGCAGAATTACAATGAATTAATGAAAAGGGAGATGGTAACTAAAGGCCTGACACATGATCTATGAAATTTTGTGTTAAAAAGAGAGCAATGACAAGGCTGAAAAATGCCAAGAAAGATGAGCACCTAATAATCACAAAGGTTAGAGAAAAGAGGAAACTTGAAATCATCACTGCGGGAAAAGATGGCTAAAAGCCCCAAAGATTAAAACGGCAAAGAGAGGCTTGGCCAGTCAGTTCTGCATTCACTAGAGGATGGATTAGACATGATTACAACTGACATGCACAGAATTCGGAGGAGCACACAAAATGATGCAGCAGGTGTTGGGGAAGGTAGGAAGAGAGCTGTCTGAAAAGGAAGGAGTGAACATCAAAGCTTTTAGGAGACACCCATTCTTTTAGGAAGGAAATAAAAAGTCGGATGAGAAGCAAGTAATAACCTGCAGGTAGAGAGCCAGAACTGTAAGGAAAATTGTTGCTTTGAGTTTCCCCAGTTCGGTCTATAATTTCTTCTGGCTAATATTAATTTTGAGAAAGTAAAAGACAATACAGTGCAATCTATTTGGTAATTTCCACTTCAGAAATGGGGTGATTCAAAAACCAGTGATAATTTAAAAATATAAATAAAGGCTAAAACCACAGTGATGCTTGCCAGAATCCCTTTAGTACTTCTAAAAGAACCTTGCGACTTTTTGAATTGCAAAAAATATTGACAGGAAAGAATGTAAAACTTCTATATTGGAACAAAGCTGGAAAAATTAGCTGGAGAAGAGGACAGTGAAGGCTCGATGTAGCAGATATCAGTAAAGGCTCATTTGCTCATCAGCGTTGCACAGCCTCACTGGGTTTGAATTCTTTCCCCTGAAATGATGGTATTTTAGTCCACACAGCTATCTTTAGTTCTTTAATGAGATCACTTGGACAATTAGTAGCTCGAAGCCCTGCGAAGTCTATAAGGGGTTAGCTGAAGACTGCTGTTGTAGCATAAGCTCTCTCTTGTATTTTTTCCTCTAATAATTAGAGCTGCACATGCAAATAAAGGGCCAGCAAATGCTTCATGGCTCAGGACATGCAGGTAAATGAAAGCCTGACAGGGAGGTGATTTTAAGTTTCAGGCTAGGGCTTTATTAGAGTAATACCGAGCCAGGATACCACATGCTCTCATCTTTTATATGGGCATTTTTCTGGTCCAGTAAAGGAGGTTACAAGGCTACCGCAGCACAAGCACCAAGGTATATTCCTACACGGACCACCCTAAGACCTAACTCAGTTTCAGGTCCCCCGACTCTCCCTCTCACAAGGGGATGAAACACCAAAGGACTTGTTTGTGCGACCAGTCTGTAGGGGAGGCCCCTTGTCTTACAGACCACTGAGAGCTTACTCGCAGAGCTTGCAAGTATGTGCCAGGGGAGCGGCCAGCATGGGCTGGCAGGAGCAGAGCTGCTGTACCGCCCGCAGGAGTCTCCCTGGTTCTTGGGAAAGGAGGTTGAGCTGTGGTGGAAGAGGACAGCATGGACAAGGCATGGAGTCAGGCTGGCAGAGACTGACCGGGACAACTTGGCTGCATTTTGGGAATGGCAATCAAAGGCAAGGAGTAGATGGCATCTGGGATGTGTGGCTTGTGCTTGGCTGGAAGTCACAGCAGAGACCGTGTGGAACTGTAACTGCATCTTTGCCCGTTGTTTCCAACCCATGTAACGTCTGGTCTGCAGGAGGAGAAGCTGCTGAAAATGAGGTCACTCAGAGAAATATGCCTAAAACATGGATTTTACACCATGTGTTTTATTTTCATTAATCCATGAAAGGTAGACACATTTTGCAACAGACTCAAAGTCTGTTATTGCAAGTATGAGTTATTTATCTTGGCGAGCTAACTCTAAGTCATTTGCTTTACTGGTCAGTAGCTACAGCTGATGACAAACTACATATTCTTCCGTCTTTTCTGAATATTGCATTTCCTTAAGCAGAAAACCCTCAATGACCTGCTCTCTGGCCATACCCAATAAAGGCAGGACAGCTGAAAGACCAAGCATTTCTACAAGCTAAGGAAGAAGTGGGTGGCCCACCTCACCACACACATTAGATAGCTAAAAAGTGCAGCAAAGTCAAAGAGGAAAGTCAAGGGTTTCTGTGGCATTTTTGATGTGTTCTCACTTCTGCACTCTTTTCTAGTCGGAGAGCAAATGAAGCCGCCTGTTTCCCCAGTCCTGCTTTGGGTTTCCACTGCCTCTTGTCCTCCCCAGCTGCTCCTGGGCAACAACACTTCACCCTTCCTGTGGCACAAGAGCCATGTGTCTTGCTGCACTATGGAGATGAGGGAATGCAGTGGGAATTACTTATTTAGGTACAAAAAAATTAATGGCTAGTTCATTTCAACTTGTAGGCTTGCTCCTGGCAAGCCAGAGTGGGAAGATTTCCTGCCGTACCAAATGCTGCTTGGAGCAGCAGCTGAAATGTGCAATTTAAAATTTATATGTGATGGTCTCCCACATTACAAAAATTAAAATACCATGAATCATCGCATCAGCATTCTAGGTCACTCTTATTCCCAGATGTGAGAGTTAAAAAATCTAATGAGGTTTTTTTAAAGTTAAAGTTATTAAAAGTTATTAAAAATAACTTCCTGGTTAGGAAGTAAAACTTGATACTTAAATGCCAAGACCCCACTAGGGATACTCGCTTTAGTATCTTCTGGATCACGGTGCGATGAGTTTCAGCTGGAGATTCCTTAAAAGTTTCTCTAGATATTAGGAAAAACAAGCATTGTAATGAAATTCCTGCTCTCCCAAAGTCAGTTGGAGCTTGGCCGGGGACTTTGAAGGGAGCCAGAATTCAACTACAGGAACAGGATTCTGAGCGTAGATGTGCTCTACAATTCTGAAATAATTACACTGGGAATACTTCTGTGCTGTAGTAGCTTGAAAACAAAAGCAAGCCCTAAGTTTCGAGATAACAAAAAGGAAAGGTAAATCATAAATTTATGAGATGGGGAAAGGCTGGGAACGGACAGTACTTCATTTAAGATAGCCTGTTTGATCGACACTCTTTAAAACATCCACATTGAAGGCTAATGGCCAACTGTGTTACAACAGCATCCAGAAACCTTATCAGGATTTATCCCTCATTTTGTAGGGTGCTCTGCTACAGAAGGAGGGAGTCTTCTCAAGACTTTTTGGCAACTCAGCTTTAATAGAAGTGAAAATGTAATAAAAGCGGGGATGGAATGCAGCTATTCCCCCTCCAATCTGAGATGTTGCAACAAAGTGCTAGTGTTGTCTTCCTTATGGCACATAAAGCAGTAGAATGAAACACAAAAGGAAAAGTTAGGGAAAGTTTTCCCTCCTATACCTCTTGACCTGAACCGAATGTCTGTGCAGAGCTTTAGCACCCTAATACAGAACTGACTGGCTCTTGTCATGCTGATTTATAGGAAGGAAACTTAACAGCAAGGACAGTGGTGGATATACCACCCTGGCATTTGCACTCTGCTTCGGCTCCTCTTTGGACACTGAAGTCCTTCTGAAGATGTGTTAACCCTCTCTATGCCAAAAGACTGCTGGAAAGCAGCTGCAAAGTCGCCTTTTCCTGACTTGGAAACAGAACGTGTAAAATCTAATAAAGGGTTGACCGCCTACCTTTAGAGAACATTAGATCCATACTTGTAAATTGAGTTTTGCAAGCAGTAAGACGGTTAATCAATCTCACTATTTTCAGAATTACAGGCAAACCCCTTTTCGATTTATTGTCCTCAGTGTTGCCAAATGAAATAAAATAAAACTACTCACTTTCATTTATAATTGTTCTGTCAAAACTAATCAAGCTATTCCTCTGCTAAGCATATAAGAAAGTAAGAAACAGATCACTCCTAACATCATTACTAAATATTTGGGAAATACTCAGATTCAGTTATGATAGGACTATACAATCATGAAAACCAGATTTTGTTCCCATCTCCACTTCACTGTCTAATCCTGGTTGTAGGAGATTTACTCTCCGTGTGTATCAGGGGTCTATATATACAAACTCACACGCAGAAACAAGCGTGGGTACGGAGATGTATAAGGAGGCCACCATATTCTATTTCTGCAAAACACTTCCAAATCCCTAGATAAAAATCACTGAAAATGTACAAGTGCAAAAGCACTACTGGCTGACAATGCTACCTGGAAGATACTCTGCATCCAGGCATCGGCACAGGACAGGACAGAAAAAGGCATGTTGTATATAGTTATTCTATTTGTGACCTTTATGCTAGAGCCGAAAATAAAAAAGAAACCACACGTGTGTTTCTGGTGCAAAATTCTGTTAACTGATGAGAAGTTCTGAAGTAATAAATCAGATAAGAAAATACTATAAACTGGATTTGAAATGTTAATTTTCTTTATACGATTAAAAGGTGCTCATTGTTTAACCACATCGGTAAGTAGTTTTTTGTAAGCCAACACAGGAAAAAAATACAATTATCACAAAGGTTTTTGAATATTCTTCTCATAGTCTCTGCATTTTTTCTTTTTCTTTTTTTTTTTCCTTCCTTCAAGGAGATTGTGAGAGATTTAAGCTTGCTTGGGGACAGATTACCGCAAAAAATCATAGTAGTCGTAAACTGTTTAGGGAGTGAATTACTGTCTCCTCTCTTATTTGGTATTAGACATACTTAAACAAGATCAGTAAGGGACATTTTTCAGGGAAAAAAAATAGTGGCTGTCAAGAAGAAATATTTGCTATACCTAGAAAGCTCTAGTTCCCTACTCAGAATAAAAACGTAGTACATACAATATAGCTGGAAATGAAAGAACCAATGAATCATTTTTTGGAAGGAAAAGACTGAAAATTATTTATGTTTCAAAAAACAAGGGAAACCCATGCAAAAGAATAAAAAGCCTGGAATTGTGGAGAACTTCTGACTTTATATTTGAAATCTGATATTTGGTAAGATGGGTCCTGGTATGACAAGATGACATTGTTGCTGAGGTGTAAAATTGAGTGGTGGTCACCTGAAACAGAAACTTGCTCCAGTCTTCTTGTCTCACCTGGTTACAGCTTCTTTTATTCTATCTGCCCTTCTTTGCTACATGATTTTAGGCTTGCTGCATAGTGTTTTCTTAAACTTGATACAGAAGGATAATGATTCCAGATGGATTTGACTAAGAGGCAACACCTTTACAGATATACCTGTACAAAGATGTACATAAATATACTTCAGAAAAATTTAGATTCAAATTTCCTATCTTTTTTTGTTAGGGAAGCAAGCCGTTGCTTTTGGAATTATTATTAATACTTATCACATTGACCTTCTGTTAAGGACAATACCACTGACAAGAAATCATGTAGCAGTCTGAAGCTGAACATGTGCTCCCTGAGTCCTACCTTAAGCCCTCTGAAGCCACATTGTCACTGTGGGAAAGGCACAGGACAGTGTGCCTCCTGGATTGCTTCCACTACTTCTAAGCAGTCCCTGGGGAAGCTGCAGGATAACGTGGGAGTCCCATCACCGTCACTTCGCAGAGAATGAAAAGCAGCAGCTTTGGCTGCTGTTTTGACTACGTTCTGCACGACAGCAAGAAAAGAGCTCGTCTAGTGTCACAACATATCTATGACAAGGGTACTTCTTTACTTCCATGCTCCCAGAAGCCCAAGAAAGGTTGGAAAGTGATCGCAGATTCTGTTTCATGGTCTCACTCTTTATGTTTGGCAAAAACCACCCTGAGGATTGTCCTTGCGCATATCACCTACCTGTGCTTTCCCAAGACCCACACAGCAGCTGGAGACAGCTGGAGCAGAGCCTGCTGACCCATCTTCCCTCCCTACGCCCGTGTGCCTCCTGTGTTCCAGGCAGTGGGAAGGGAGGCACAAGAGCTGGCTTAAACCAGCTCTGCGTCGCCCAAAGAGATGCAGATGGTTTCCATTTTCGTGTGTGCCATCTGAATGCAAGGAAAGGAGAACAGGCCAAATGACTTGCCCTGATATATTGACTGTGGCTGTCTGACATTTTTGACATGTTTGGACAGTGGGCTAAAAGGGTCAGACACCACTGGTGTACATGTAGATACAGACGGTTGCACACTTACAAAAGGATTTCTTAATGTCAGCCAACCTGAAAAGGAGGAAGCATGAGGAAAATGTATGTAAGTAATGAGGTGAGAACACTAGTCTCAGCTTTCTGAATTCCCATGTAATTACAGTGAAATTTCACAAAGCAAACATTTCTGCCTTTTTTTTTTAGTTTTAAAGACTCTACAGCACAGCAATATCTGTGTATTTAACTAATGTGACAAGTTTTACTGTGTCCTAATCAAACCTAATCACCCCTACTTTCTACTAGGTACTACACTGATCAATGGGAAAGCTTTCTAGGCAAGAACTTGGAAAATGATAAAAGCATTTACGATCATTATTTTCTGCTTTTTGACAATGATCTATGTCTGTACAGCTCATCAGTCATCTCTTGTAAAAACAACGTGGCACTTTGATCAAACAGCCAACAATAGCTCCCCGCGTAAGGTAAAATGTTATGAGAGTCCATCAGATAGAAATCACATTTTCTCTGAACAAAAGGAACCCAGAAATGATGTGCTTGATTTACTTGCAAATAAAATAATGTGAAAGGTGATATCTTCACAGAGGTTAAAAAGACAGTGATCCTTTTATTCACCTTTCTGCGTGTTAAACGAACTTCACTGTCATGCCGCAACTGAGATGGAGTGTCTCCGCAGTGATAAAGAGGCGCATTCCAGCTCTAGGAAACATAACTGCCACTGCTGAAAAATTACCTGCATTATACCTCACACTTATCCCACAAATTTTAAGAGCAAGATGTGGGAGTTTGATTTTGCTTACAGGCCTCTATCTGTGTGGTAGGCAAAGGTCTTTACCCTACCCGTTCTGGACGTACTAGGTACCTAGTTTCATCAATGTCATGCCTTGTTGGGTCAATGCTGCAGGATTTTATCTAAAACTTGAGGCTTTTCAATTTATACTGTATATGCAAACGCAAGCTTTTACTGGTGCTCCCTGCCTTTTGTTTCAGTGAGAGGATCTATGGTATTTATAGAAAAGGGAGTTGGAGGGACCTTAAACTTATTTTACTCACTTAGATTCCTACTGAGTTGAGGTCTTCAAAAGAGCAAGGTTGTTTATTTGAAGACCAGCGTGTGCCAGAGCCAGTGGAGCCAAACACTTTTTAGTGTTAGAAAAATTGCCACTCTTCCTTTTCTACTCTGGCTTTTCCCAAACCTCTACTGATTGAAACAACATTAATTTTTAAGAGGGCTGACACAAATTCTCTGCTTCTGAACATAAATTCAAGTAAAACACATTATCCTAATTTATTTTTGCAGTCTGCAAAGGACTGATTATTTTTGTAGAAAAGGTAACACTAATCTCTTGATACTGTGCTACAAGACGTGTCAAGATTCACACAGGTATTTAGGCACTTAGCTCGCATTTCTCTCAAAGACAGATTGTGCATGTGAATTCTGGGCCCAAGTTCACATAGCAAGACGTGTCTGGAGTTCATACTAAGAAGTGCAATTGATCTCCCAAGCAACAGAGAGTTTTAACCTGTTGAGTTGTGATGCTCTGTAGGTGGCAGTCATTATTACTGATTGAAATAAACATTAGAAGGAAGAATCTCATCCAATTAAAACACTAACAGTTGATACCTGGTTGGGTTCTCAAGTCAAAACCAACCACAGCACAACTTCTTACTCTGATGTGGACAAGGATTACACCATCTTTCTGACACATGTACGATGTACAAACGAAATGATTCCTCCCTACACCAGTCTTTGAACTTTCTATTAACTTCTGATTTTTGTGCACACAGTGAAATCCACGGGTGTACAGAACTGTGCTTCCAGAAGTAATGGCCACTCGGTATTCCACTGATGTGGTGTTTACCACACAGCTCAGTTCTCAGCTCTGACTAAAGTGCCACGAGGTATCCGCATAATCCCATTGCAAAAGCCATTCAAAGGGTAAAGGAAAAGGCACAGGTAAAGTTACAGAAGCTGGAATTTGAAGCAAGCGAAGAAGTTGCCTGTAGCCTACCATGGCAGTGTTAATGGGGAAGGGGGTGTCTCAGCTCAGAAAAGGTTTCAGCAGTCATTTTTTGGGTGATCTTATCAAGAAAAATACTCGCGAATCACCCTGTCTAAAGATATGCCACCATGGAGAGGCCAAGAATGGTAGTCTCCACCCTCACAGCCTCCAGGCCCACTGCTGCTCAGGAGTTATCAAGGTGCTCAACTCCTGCATAGAGTAGACTCCGGGAGCTAAACTAGAAATTTAATCACACAAAATCATGAATAATCTCCTGCTTCATTACCTGTTTAACTTTCTGAATCAGCTCAGTGTGAGGTCAGATTAATGCCAGTGCTGGTGCAAAGCAGAAGGGGTAGGAACAGGACTGGCTGCTGTTAGGCTTGCCTAGCTGAAAAAATACCTGAAAAACTCAGAATAGCGAAGTTTTTCCTTTCCTTCTTTTCCAAAGAAATGTACCAGCAACATGGTATTAACAGCACAGCTTTCCAGTTCTGCTCCCTATAAAACAAAAACCTGTAGGATTAATGATTACGCATTGTATGATAATTAGTATCTACTAATCACAAATCTAGAAATATTTACTGGAACTGAAATTTCACAAGAGATACTTGCAAATTAATTACTGTTTCCAAAGCTATCATACAGGATCTTAGAGTTGAGTAATACTTCCACATCGACTGCTAAGAGTGTATTATATGTTCTGCTTCTAAATATTCTGCTTGAAAGATGAGCACAATTTTTACAACCACCTTCACTGTATATTTTTAGAACTGAGAAGGTTGCAACTTATATCTTTAAAAATCTTTACGCATAGGTAAACAGAGGCTTTAAATAAAGTTAACATTTTTGTAAAAAAAGTTTTTAGTCAGATATTTCTGTTACAGCCACTTAAAAAGCACGCATGACAGTATAAGAAACAAAACTAGAAAAATATATTCACAGTGCTCTATTATAATGTGGCCTTACAAGAAAATTTTGAATGTTAGTAACTTTTCTATACATTTTTTAAATCTGGTGAAGAGATTTCTGCAGGAAAAGGATGCACATTATTTCAACTCAACAGCATCTTTAACAAGCCTAAAACCACACATAATGTTGGATTTCTGTTCTATTCTTCTTTCAGCACTAGCGTCCTGGCATTTCTTTGAATGCAACAAAACACTAAGCAACATGAAGGGAGATTTTTTTCCCCTAAGTCCAGAGGGATTTCAACAAACTATTCTTATGACATCTAAATAGCCTCTGTGTCTTTTATCTGGTTGAAGAGGTAAGATGAAAGACAAGAGTCTATTCACAAGATTTAATACTAATGGTTATTTAGCTTTCAGCATCATCAATAACCAGTCCCATTAGTTCACTGTGTGTTTCATGCTTACTGCATATGACACATTTATTTTATAGTTAAAGAGGTAACATTCCTCATTCCTACTGCACGTTACAATCCACTAAATGCCAGCAATATGAGTGATCTATGAGTGAACCCAGAAAAAGAACTTTTCAAGCCATATGCAAACTGTACTTATTGAACTTTTATCATTTAACTGCAGGCGAAGAGTATTTAAATACCCACAAGATCCATCCTTCTCAAGTTTAAACACTTCAGATTACTGTGAAGACTGATGCATAAACATTGGTATATGCTTTTCTAAAAGTCAAAAGTCAAACATTCATGTATGCTTATTTGAAATTCAAACTCAAACTCTTTATACCAGAACGCAAAGTTTTCTATGAAGAAATAGAAGTATCCACATATTTCTCACTGCAGTGAGATTCTAATCTGTTTTCTGGATTTTTTTGCTTACATGTTTAAATGCCTGGAAAAAAATGCAAGCAGTAGATTTGCTGATGTAATTTTAAAAAATGAACTCATGATTACACAAGTTAATGCTTTCGGTTTAATTGCTCCATATTAAAATCAGTGTTGCATTGAAAACAAACTCAAAAATGAGGTTTAAAATAACCTTTTAAAAACTAAGTCAGTGACAGGAGAAGTTTTTTTCTTTTATTCATGTTTTTCTAGCTATAATCTAGAAGAAGACATACAAACAATACCTGTCTCATCTTATCTAAGATGACAAAGCCTATCCCTGTATTTATAACAAATATGCACCTACTTGTTGGCTACTTTCTTTATCAGTTGAAATTCCAACACGGAATTGGCAGATGTCCAAACACTATGTTAGTGAGAGTTAAATGTATTTTAAAACTACAAAACAGTACATTTCTTTAAACAAAATATGCAATAGGAGACCACAGAGACTACAGCTTAAGGGTAGAATTTCAAAAAATTGCTTTTCCTAGAGTTAATGCTATTAAATTAAACTACATGTTAGTACATAATTCCTTTTTGTTCACAGAATCATTAGAAGCTTTTGCTGCTGAACTGTATAAATTAGTACCGACATGACAAATCTTTGTTAGAAGATAATGAGAGGTCTATTAATATTTCCAACACCTCACCCTCCTGAGCTTAGGTAAAAAAAATAAGTTACATTTGGAATGTCTCTCTTGGCAATGAGAACGAAATGGCAACCTAATCCTGGAGCTGTAAAAAGGACAGACTGGCAGCTCTGAGTCACAGAGCTACTATCTAAATTGAGTGAAAGTTTGTATTTTGGTGTATCTTGTAGCTCCAGCCCCGGGAGCGTGCACTGTGGCAGCACCCTTTTGGGCTGTGAATTTTACAGAAAGCTGAAGCAAAATGTGAAGAAAGGATAGTGATATTCCGAGTCTCACCTTGAAACAAGCACAGGATGGGGCAGGGACATACATCTTAACTGGAGAACATGTGCCAGGGTCCACTGATACAGACAAAGATTCCAAAAGCTCTGCTGCCACACCATGCACATGTGTGTACATATTACAAACACTCTCATTTTCCTAGAGTAGTGTTAACACCTTGCACACTTTTCAAAAGCATGATACACTGCTGAATTATGCAATTATTCCTTTTTGAGTTAGATCAGATAACACAATATTTATTTCCTTATTACATTATGCAAACTCTTCACATAGAAGCCTGATGCTGTGAACACTGAGTCACGGGCACAGACCTACCTAATCCTGAAGCTCCCCATTGAGCTTTTGACATTTAGGACCTGATACTGCAGCAAGTAGCAACAAGTGCCACTGAGAAGAAACTTACCACACAGTGAGACAGGATTTTCAGAATAATGTACCTAACTGACTTTCAAAACTCATCTGAAATGTTAATAGACTTACTGTCTCTAGAATCTCACCACCTTCCCTTGCAGAATTTGCCTGAGGCATGACTAAAAAGTGTTCATCATGATTAAAATCTGCAATACGTTCCTTGTTCTCTTTCTTGCTTCCTGGGAGATGGTATTTGCTGTGTAATGTCTTGTTTCAAAAGAAATTTTAAAAATAATACATATTTTTGACTGATTTTTTTTTTTGTTAAGGTAGAAGGAGAGTGAACAAATGAAGAACAGAGGCAGAAATAGGAGGAGGGTCAAAGAGAACAGTATCATAGTTTCTGTGTGCTAGGGATGTCCCCAGTCTTTCTAAAGACTAAATCTTTGTAATTTTTTCTGAGTCCACTTCTTCGCAATGCTCTTTTTCAGCTGCTAGGTCAGTCAATTCATCATGCTCGGCTTCTAACCCTGAAGGCAATCTAGGCTTCAGTCAAAAAAGCCTAGCCTCAAACACTGCTCAAGAGCAGGAAGCTTTCTGTCATTTTGAGATTCTCCAAGACGTTGGGATATATCCTACTACTGAGTTCTGGGAAAATGGTTTAAAAGATGTATCCATTATTGAGGCTGGATAAGACCTCTGAGATCGTCAAGTCCAGCCTATGACCCAACACCACCACATCGGACAGACCATGGCACTAAGTGCCACATCCAGACTCTCCTTAAACACCTCCAGGGATGGTGGCTCCACCACTTCCCTGGGCAGTACATTCCAATGCCTGACATCTATTCCAATGTCTGATATCATGTAAATTATCATGTAAATCCCTACTAAAGTTTTTAATGTTTTGCAAGGCACTTTCTTACTAGGCAGGACTCAAGAATACATCGTCTGACACAGAAAGGCTAAAATGTGCACAACTGTTTTCTACATGGAGTGTAACAGACAACATTTGAGAAGTTGTCCAATGGAGCATTTTCTAAACAATCAAGGGATTGTGATCAGCTTCCCATTACTCTGGACCAAGACTAGAGCTGTTAGTGCAAGGCAAATCATGTGTCTACCCTGGTCTGTCAGGAGCCCACAATGCTATCTGGCTTCTCTATATCATTTAAAGCTCTTCAGATTAGGTTAAGTAGCAGAGACTAAGAGGGCAGCCTGCAATGGAAAGCAATGCTGCTGTGATCACAATGGGCTTGCAGATGAATTCCTTGAGGGAAAGACTTTCACCATTCATTCCAAATTCAATGTACTTGCAGAATAGGTATCTAGGAAGATGTCAGAAAGCAAGCTTCTTTGTCTCTCTTGATTCCATCAGGTCACATGGAAAACCAAAATAATCTCTTTGTCCATGAGGTACACAATGATCCAGCAGTTTTTAAAAAAGCTTAATATTTTGATGCCATATGGCTTGGTTCTTTATGGGGTTTAGCTGCCTGGAGAGTCTCCTTTAAAGCATGCAGTCATGGTAGTGTTGGGCTGACAGTTGGACCCAATGATCTTAGAGGTATTTTCCAACCTTAAAGATTCTAAGATTCTAGGACTGTTGCAGTGCTCCTTGGTTTAAAGTATCTAGAAGCTTTTCAGCAGAACTCAGTGTTACTTCAGAAAGAGAAGTAAGAGAAGGAGACAGGTTAAAACAACCGATACACAATTAACAGGAAAATATCCAGGTGTGGATATAAAGTATACTGCTCATAGACAGAATTTTACTTCAAAAGTTTTCTGTTTAAAAGAGATTAATAGCTGTGTCCACAAAAACGAGTTAAATGTTATGGCTTTTCTTTTTTTTAAGTAAATGAGATACTTTTTTAAGTAAATGAAAATGTGTTCATTATGGAGTCCAGGAGCATATATTTAATCATTTGAAAATGAGACAATACACCTATTATTTCCCAATGTGAATTCCATTTTAAGAACACGTATGTATTGTCATTCCTCTCCTAACAATAGCTAAAATTAATTTCTAAGTTTAGCCATTACACAAAGCATATTAAACTGGAGGTATTGAAATCACGTGATAACTCATTAATCTAAACCGAAGGGCCCAAGAGGAAAAACCCCTGATCTAGGTGACTGGGCTGTAGAGTAGATTTCTGCAACCATTAGCATTATTTTCTCTACTATAACACTAATGCATACGAGGCCATCAGAGCATCCTTTTAAGGAACTCATGGGCAGTAACACAAAAGCAATTGATGCTGTTCCCTGGGCAACGCCTTTTTCAAAATATACCAAACTCTTACAGCTTCTGCATTTTCCTACAACACTCTAAACCACTTCCAGGCAAGGAGTTTGCCTCTCCTCTCCTGTGAAGCGTGATCAGATGCTCAGCTGGATGTCTCACACGAAGCAGAACAGTTCTGCTGGGGAGCCAGAGGCAGCATTTCCTCTGGCCTACACGAAGGCGGGTGAAGTGAGACAGACACTGCCTTTGCTGACTTCTGCACCATTTTCTCCAGTCCAGTTAGAAAGAACCAGCTGCCAGTCCTGTAAGCCTACCTGCAACTCTCCTCCACAATGCACATGCCTGTGCTATAAGTAAATCAGATTCCCTGCTCTGCAAAAGTCAGCAAGGAACTTCCCCAAAAGAGTGGGCCAGTTAAGGCTGATTTTTTGGCTTTTTTTCCAGTATCACTTCTAATACTGGAAAAAGAAAATCCCTCAACTGAAATACATTTATCTGGATCACCAAGTCCACTGCAAACTCATTCAAGGGCCATTACTAAGTGGTGAATTTCTGAATTTTAGATGTGTAAGTCAAAGTCTCAGTAAAACAAGCAGATACAAGCACCCTGAGAGCACAGTAATTATTTTCCTAATACAGTACCTCAATGAGTATTAAGTGGTAGCTCCATACACTAAATGAACGAGTGGGACTCCTGCCTACACACTGTACAGGGAACATACCTGGATATACCTTCTGGTTAAATAAAGTTGCAGACTGCCATTTAAACCTTATTTTCACAAGTCAGTAACATTTTTCATCTGGTATCAGAGACTAGGATTACTTTGAAAAAAGTAAACTTATGCAAATTGTGAGTGTTGTGGAAATAAAGAACTATCCCAAGCACCAACTTCTGCTGCAGTATCTCAGCTTTCAAAGAACACAGTCAATTTAAAAAGCATATTTTGATGCGTTATCTGCTTTGCTTGAAATTAATACTATGACTGCGGTAATTAATAGTAAGGGGTAAAAACATACGCACTGACTACACTGTATAGTCACATTCACTGCTTATAAAGGTAACAAACCTATTTTCTGAGAGACTGAGACAGGAAAGAAAATAAAAATTAGAAGAAAAGTGATAATTTGGACTCTGCCAAGTAGAAATACAGAGACAAGAACAATATCAAGAGAGCTGTACTCCCCAGAGCTATTTAGTTCTTCTTTTGAGCATACTGTAATTCCATTCACAATCTGCTAAGAAGCTGTATTAAATCGTATTTTCTTGTTACTTCAGATTTTTCTCAATGGAGAATTCTGGAGACAAAATTTGAAGCAAGATAAAAACCAGAGACATTCAAGCTCAGGTATTTAATTAGCTCCCAATAAGCTTATGTGTTTATAACTAAATCTGTCAAACTGTATCAAAGTTTCTCTGGAAATTTTATACTATAACTGTGCATTCATGCAGAATAAAGATCTTTTTTCTTTCACTTTCACGGCAGTTAAGTGTCAATTGAAATAGGTTTTGAGGGGCAGACAACCCTATTAATCCTAGCTATTTTAATCTGCTGACTGATGAAAAGATTCAAGAAAGGAGATGGTTGATAGTCACTCAAACAATTTTTAAACTGAACTCTGGATGCATATTGAGGGAGTAAAACCTTTATGCATCAGAAGACAGTTTTTGTTTATGCCTAGTAAATATTAAAGGTGTTAACAACATTGCCACTTCCATTTTTTCCCCAGACAGGTGAAAAATAGAACCCTCGAGCTGGACCAACTCTTTGTAGAAACTGCTGATGCATGATAGGTTTATAAAGTAGAGCCCTGTATAAATTCCTTATTGAATGCTTCCAACAGGAGCCAGTTGCTGCCTCATGCCTAATTACCCATTTTTAGTTTACAACTGAGAGCAAGTCTGTAGTGAGAGAAAGATCCTTCAGCTACACCATTCAATTAAAGCATGCAACAAAAGTAGTACTGCTGACGCAAACAGTGCTTTATAGTAAGAGACAGAAGATAATCTATCCATATTCTTCCCTCCTTTGCCTTGGTTCATCAGTTTCTTCTGAGGCACTTGCAGTAGGCCCAGGACTTCCCCCCTCTCTGTTTTCAGTCTCATTCAGCATCCTCATAGCTAAACTGAGGAAGTGTGGTCTGGATGACCGAGTAGTGAGGTGGGTCGTTATCTGGTTGAAGAAGTCAGAGAGTTGTGGTCAACGGTACAGAGTCTAGTTGGAGGCCTGTGTCTAGTGGAGTCCCTCAAGGGTCGGTACTGGGACCAGCAATATTCAGTACCTTCATCAATGACCTGGATGTGGGAACAGAGTGCACTGTCAGCAAGTTTGCTGATGACACAAAACTGGGAGGAGTGGCTGACACACCAGCAGGCTGTGCTGCCATTCAGAGAGACCTAGACAGGCTGGAGGGATGGGCAGGGAGACATTTTATGAAGTTCAACACGGGCAAGCGTAGAGTTTTGCACTTGGGAAAGAACAACCCCATGTGCCAGTGTAGGTTGGGGACTGATCTGCTGGAGAGAAGTGTAGGAGAAAGGGACCTGGGGGTTCTGGCGGGCAGCAGGGTGACCATGAGCCAGCAATGTGCCCTCGTGGCCAAGAAGGCCAATGGCATCCTGGGGTGTATTAGAAGGGGAGTAGCTAGTAGGTTGAGAGAGGTCCTCCTGCCCCTCTACTCTGCCCTGGTGAGGCCACATCTGGAATCTTGTGTCCAGTTCTGGGCCCCTCAGCTCAAGGGAGACAGGGAACTGCTGGAGAGAGTCCAGCGCAGAGCCACAAAGACGATGAAGGGAGTGGAACATCTCCCTGATGAGGAAAGGCTGAAGGAGCTGGGTCTCTTTAGCTTAGAGAAGAGGAGGCTGAGGGGTGACCTCATTCATGTTTATAAATATGTCAAGGGGGAGTGTCAGGAGGACAGAGCCAGGCTCTTTTCAGTGATGTCCAATGACAGGACAAGGAGCAACGGGTGCAAGCTGGAGCACAGGTGGTTCCACAAAAACATTAGAAACAACTTTTTCATTGTGAGGGTGACAGAGCACTAGAACAGGCTGCCCAGAGAGATTGTGGAGTCTCTTCCTCCTCTGAAGACATTCAAAACCTGCCTGGGTGCCATCCTGTGTGACCTACTCTAGGTGATCCTGCTTTGGCAGGACTAGATGATCTTTCGAGGTCCCTTCACATCCCTAACATTCTGTGATTCTGTGATTCATCCAGGCTACAGAATGTCTTGTCTCTGTGCTGACTACAGACTGAAGAAGAGATGGCATCTGACAAAGACTCTTACCTGGGAAGGAGGCAGGTTGCAGTGACAGGATTCGGGGGAAAAGAGCCAGAAAAAAGCAGAAATTTACCTGCCCCTTTCATTCACGAGATGTATTTGCCATTTGCTAATGATCTGCAATCCAGTGAAACTTCCAAGCCTGTTACATCACCATACCCTAAGATATGTTCTGGTCTGCACCTATGTCCCTTCTTCTTAGAAGTGGACCCAACTAAAGTAATCCTTGCCTTTGTCACCTCAGTGACTGAAACTGCATTTCAAACTAACTCAGAATAGGTTGATTTTACTGCAACAGCAGCACCTAAATAATTTTAAGTTACCAATTTCTGTTTCTTTTCCCATATGGCAAGACAGAGTTTTTTCTGAGCTTTTCGTAAATATAAGAGTGTCACTCTGAAACAGAGGCTTACAGAAACTAAATAATGAAGTGACTACACACTAATGAAATATATTGTGTTCAGTACTGACAAACATTTTTCTTCCCCAGTTAGAAGCAGTTAACAAATTACACACCTCCATTTATTTAAAGCACTAATACTGATGCTTATACGCTTATCAAAAACTAACAAAGTTCACCCGAAATATGACAATGCTTTTGTAAAGAAAAATCTGTCTCTATTTTATACCTGAAATACTGTTTCATCTCCAGCTGTTTTCAAATCATCTTCCTTCCCAAGGATTTTCTGTAGCTGTATTTGTTAAAACATGAAAAAAACACAGGAAAATTACAAATTTAGTCTTACAAGAGTCCTCTTTTTCAGAAACTTGCATTAATGTCACCTTTTCTTAACTATAAAGTCATTACATTTTTGCAACGTTCTCTAGTCATGACAAAATATTTGCATACTTAAGGATATTTTGCTATTCAGTCACACTTTTTACCAGAAATGTCAGAGCATATGAATCTCTCTCTTGTACCCTATTAGCTCTCGTCTATTAACTCTATTTTTAGAGGAGAATTTCTTACACTAGAAGCTTAGCATTCACTCTGTAAGATCTTGAAGCTCAGAAGGATAACATCAAGGGTCATCCAGAAAATAAAAAATATCCTGTGAATTTTCATGCTATCCTCTTAGTTTTACATACCTCTCCTACAGACATGATCTTCTAGACATGATAAAAATACCTGTTCAAATGAGCTACCGTTACAACTAACAACAAAGAATAATTTAATTAAATAAGCATGCCTATTTTCAGAACTGGCATTAAGCAGAATGTGGTTCGATTCTCCCCTCCACCCCATAAATAAACAAATCTTGAGTGTGTCAGCTAAAAAGATTTTTCTAAGTACTGAAACAACTCACATTTAAAAACATAACTTTGACTGTCCCAAGGAGGGCTTTCAGGTAATGTAGAAAGTGCATTAATTTGCTGTACGTCAAGTATACCTCAGCTGCCGTTTCTTTGGCTGTATTTTAGTTTGCGAGGTCAACACTGCCACAAGAATGAGTGATCTAACACAGCACAAGGTATACCTACCTTTCACAGACACTTGCATGACTCCTTACAAGGACAGCAAAAATGAAAGAACAAGGGACTTATTACATTTCAGATATAGGTAAGGACTTCCATCGATCATGCTGGATTTGAAGACTTTAGGGAAGATGCTTTTAAAGCTCAGGGTTTTTGAAGCTGCTGGTTTGCTTCTCAAACACTTCTGAGTGATTCCTCACCCGGTTCATTAAAACTGGGGAAAAAAATCCATGACCAAATTTGCATAGCCATTATTTTTTGGGGCCTTAAAATCTCTTCTTAGGGCTTTATTATTTTCCTTTTTTGTTATGTTGTCCAGAGAAGCAATATTGGCTTTTAAGTAGTGAGTAGGAAAAAATGCACTAACTATTCGTGTTGCCAAAGGTCTTCCCCTGGCCTTCACATTTTCATTAACTCAGCTGTTCTGTTCTGTTTATCATCTCAGCTTTTGAATTCATCAGGATAGTTACTTTCTACTACTATCAAGACATGCCTTGATAGTATTTATCAAAACAAATATTATAAAACAAAGCAATTAGATAGTATTAGTTCTTTCAAGTTTCTCCGAATTCTTTTTGTTTTTGATCACTTACAAAACAATTGACTAGTACATTAAAGGCATTATGAATTTCTTCCTAGCAAAATAGCATTATAAAGCTCTGGATAAAACCACAAATGCCCATCCATATTTTCATTGAAAAATTATATTTTTTCTTACCTGAAAAATCCATCTTTTGCTCACACACAAGAAATAAAACTGCAAATACTTTCCAAACAAAGGAAAATATAATTTTTTTTCTTTTGTGTTTTATTTCTAAATGACTCTTAAAAAAAATCTGCAGAGACTACTGAAGAGCACAGACACACAGAATAATTTTTTTTCACAAGTGTTCTGGAAGATTTAGTTTATTGTTTGCTTATGTTGTTTGCAAATCCTTATAGTGTTTGAAACCACTTCCAGCAGTTCACAGATTTTTTTCCAGCAAAATGTAGCAACTGCCTGTGGAGGGAGAAGAATTCTGCTCCTGAGAAATGGACTCCCAATACCAGACTGCTCCATGTAACATCTATCTGTATTTAATATTTATATCTGTTCATCACTGGAAGATATTCATGGCTAATTCAAAGATAATGAGACCTATTACACACAGCTGATGCCTCTTTACTAAAGACATACTAAGCAGTAATAATTTCTGAAGAAGACAGGAGCTGGCAGAGAGGCTATGTTAGTCTTAAAAAAACAAAAAAAGGTGATTTTGCATCTTTCAGTTGTTTGAGAGAGATGAGTGCTTGTGGATGCTCCAGGACTGCAGAGGTGTTTTGTACCAAACTACCACAACTGCTGATAGCGTTGAGTATATTTTACCCCAGATATATCTCTACAAGTTTTTTTTGTGTGGTATCTGCTCTCCAGGACAAGTGTATCAAGACAGGTTCTGTTTAGAAAATCTAAGTCACATAGCTCTTGCATGTACCATTAGAGCTACCCTATCTCCATTCCTAATAGTTTTGAACTGTCATTAATTAAAAATCTTTCATCAGGACATTAAGGAAGTTCCTCATTTGGTGAGGATTCTGGGATCCTCAGTAGCCTTGTTCCTGATGGGAGGTCTCAGATTAACGTGCACGGGTTATTACATGCACATGTCTGGAAATCCCCCTCACACAGGCTCATGTGAATGTCTTGGAAGTGCTCACAGAAGTATCTCACTGCCTTCACAATACAGCTCTGAGAAACAATTCTTCGCACTCCGGCAGGGGCTGATTAAAAGACGGCAACTAACTCTGCGAACATACCTTTTCTACCACGAAGGGCTGGGGTTATAAAGTACTTTGTCACTCTCCTCCCTCTCTTGAATGATTCACATGACACATCTTGTGCCTGTTTCGCCACTGACATGCGGGAGCTGAGATACACACAACTCAAAGAATGATGGACATTTTGCAAACAAAAAGGCAAAAGCCCTTACCTCAAACAATTTACAGTGGAGATCAGCCGATAACGTAGACACACATAGATGTCTAATCAGTAGACAGTGGATGGGAAGTAGGAAGAAGCAGTGACAAAGTAAAAGAATGAAGTAGCTCTGAAATTTTGTTTCCCGTTATCTCCTGCTTACAGCAAGTGGTTCCTGATTACTGCTTCTTGGTTAAGCTTTTCTACTGTCCTTTCCTTTCTTACATTTCTTGATATTATTGTCAAATATAGTGTGGAAATAACTACAGAATAGTTCAGATGTATTTTCCTGAGATGCCAACTGGGACAAGATGAATGTCAGACTAGCCACACAATTTACTAATTTATTAGTATACATAAGCTTTCTATGATGCCTACCGAACTAGAGCATGCAGAGATTAACACACATACATTTTTCCAGATTCTTGCATTCTAAAAATTTAATTTTTAAACCTAACCTACAGAAAACAAGTTTTGCTTTAAAATATTCACTGCTTATAAACATTACCTAAACAGTCACGTGAGAGAACTCATCTTTTGTCAAGCTTGCATCCTTGGGACTTCTTTGAATTTAATGATTCTTACGAGTTGACATAACAATTCATATGATTTTTTTTTGACATTCTGTATTAATTTATCAATACAGCCTATAAAGGAAGTGCAAAGTAACAACCTATCTAACTAGAACCATTTTAATTTAACTTGATTGCCTCTACAGATATCAAATTATTTTTAATTATTTTATAATGCTTTCACCTCTACTTTTGATGACTTTCTGCTGTTCACACTGGACAATTCAATTAGAATTACCTGAAATGGGTAATGGATACTAAACATGTGACATACTCCCTAAGAGAGTTGTGCTGTATTTCTGCAAGAATCTTCTTATTTGCTTAACTGCCACAGTACCTATTTAAAAGGAAGTACTGCTACCATGGCATTTTGGTGCAGAGGCAATACAGGCTCAACATGTTTACTCATGGACTTACTTTCGCCTCTAACAAACTGTTTTGCAGATGAATAATGCAGCCATAACAGATGCATTTCGGTGATCCGCACACTGCTACTCTGATAACAATTCAATAGGATTCTACCAGATTTAGTAGGTTAAAAAATAAAGGCTTTAGTCAGAATTTTATTTCTTTTGCATCAGCAGAATAATGAACATCTTAACAGAGCAAATTCTTCAAGCTTAAAAGACTTTTTGTAGCAACAAATGAGTGCAGGGTATCTTAAGGCTCAGTTAGGGGCTTCTGGGAACATTGTCTGGGGAAATGGTCTAATTTCAAGTTCTATTCTCAAACAGTACTACTAAGTCTAAAAGTACTTCTACAATGTTCTAAAGCATGTATATTTAAGCATGACTCATTAATTGTAATCTTGCTATAAGACAATTCACTGAAAAAATGTCTATCAGTGCAAGCACATGTTAACAGTAATTGTATCATTAATCCAGAGTTTAAGGCTCTGGAATCACATTTAAATAACTTTTTTGGTAATTTCTCTATCGAGAGATGCAACTTTACATGTTTTAGATTCTGCGGTTCCCCAGAGTTGTTGCAATAATCTTTAACCTTATCCTAGTGACAGAAATGAATTTGCATTGTAGTAGTCATTTCAACTTTTTATAAAATTGCCTCTCTGTTTGCCTCCAATACAAAAGAAGGATCTGAATTAAGGGGAGGGAGTCTATGAAAAGTACCAATTGGTAAAAACACCCTGTGCAACAGTATACAAAACCAATAAAAACCAAGAGCGAACTGTGAATTAAAAAAATATTCAAAATATTTAGAAAATAGAAGGCTTTTCCAGGTGATTATTTAAATTAGCTCATGGGATTAAGGGATGTACATCAACTCCTATCTTCCCAGTAAAAGATTTTTAGATCCAAGTCAAAGGCAACATTTATAAAAGGATTCAAATCTAAGAAGTACTTCTGAAGCAATGCTTTAGTATGTGCTCCTTCCGTATGAAGTATTTTAGCAGTACGTGATCATAGACTGGACTGAAATAGAGGCTTGAAGATTTAAATTAATCTTAATGTGGCAAATATAACCCAGGGACATATTTGAATGGTTTAAAATTAATATGCATATAAATATACATACCTTAAAGAATTCTTTCTTTTCAACTTGTTCATTGCCATCTGTATCCAACATTTTAAAGGCAATCTGAAATCCAGTCTGGGGTTCTGGAAGAAATTGCAAAAGAACTTTATTGTAAATACACACACACATACTCTTACACTAGTACTTCGATATTTAACGCAAAAGGAATATTGCCTGCGGTTCAGTTCTCCGTTGTTACACATGTACATAATATTTCCAGTAAACCATATGTACCTTCTCCAATGGAAGCAAATTTTTTAAACACCTTTTTGCTACCATTTCAGGGGATAATTAATGCAACAGCAGTGCCAAAGTACAGCCACAAATGTCCGTCAGATCCTGGCAACTGTGAAAATCTTCTATTTCTTACTTCCCTGGTCTTAGACATCCTCTGTAGGTGCCTCCATAATCTCATGTCACTTCCGAAGTCTAGCCTTGCCTTGTTTATTAGAGCTCCTTTTCAAGCAAGAAGAGTGGAGAGTGCCTCAAGGAACCAAAAATTATTCGCAAACAGCATGAAAGAGCTAGTGTACCCCTCAGGTACTCTTCGCACGTGTTAGTCTCTGCCAGCATTTGCAGCCTTCCCCAGCAAACAGACCCACCAGCCAGCTCGCTCGGCTCCTGCTCCTGTCGCATGAGCCCCAGGCCTTTTTTTTTTTCCCTTCCCTTCTCCTTCATCCCTAAATAATGTACTTGAACATTACTGAGATGTAATGAACTACTCTTTCTGGCTTTTTTTAGACAAAAGCATGTTTTGTGTGACTCCCATCAAGCTGATTTTTTTCAGGAATTTTACACAATTTTACCCTCCATTCCCTTCACTGAGTGGATGTTTCTTTTCAACACAAAAATGTAATGAGTTCTGAATCTTGCAGGCGCTATAAAAACACGGCGTGCTTTGAGCTCTTGCCCACAATTTCCTGATCTAACTTTGCTTACAGGAGGTGGCCTCGCTCATTAGCAAGCCCACACAGGAGCAGCATGCTGCTGAAGTGTATTTACAGCTCACTGCAGTAGCAAGCTCTTACCCCAGTAATTTCTGGAGCAGGTGAATTAATTCCACAGCCTAGCCAAGTCAGGCATTAGTATGAAAGCCACAGACTTAGTGTCTCTAGAATATATTCCTGTTTCCAAGAACAATGTTGGACTCACGAGGGCAGTGAAGCAGCATCTCTAAAAAACTCCAATGCCTTCAGAGTTTTTCTTTTGGAAATATATTCTTCCAGCTGCATTCTGTAAAGTTTTAAGTCTTGCTTTGTGGTTTTTTTTTTCCCCCCAGAAAATCTTTCTGCAAAGGGAAAAAGTTAAAGAAACATCCAGTTCCTTTTAAGTGATAACAAGATGGTTAAAGAAAGTACTATTTTTACATTTTAGAAATAACTATATCTTCAGCAGTCAAGTAATGTTCTCTATGGAGTACCCTTGTGATGCAAGGATATTTTATAAATATTATATTAATCTACACAGCAGAGCCCTTCTCCAGCAACTGGGCTGTAATAACCAAAACTGGCTTCTTTTCCATGGAAGTGCCACATGCTAGATTTGAGTTACTACTACAAAAGCAAGACAGGCCTATCCTATAACATATTTAGAGAATAAAAGTAATTGATGTATTTAATAGTAATTCATACCATCTGTGCTGCAAATTTCAGATAAGAGAGCTGTTACTGAAAATATAGGGCCTAAAGCTCCTTATACTGTTCAGAGATGACATACTTATCTGATATGATGTAACCCCAAAGGTATGTGTTCGTAAAATAAGCATAGTTCAAAGACTACCTCAGATATATTTGTATTTAATTAGAATCAGGCAAAATTCCAAAATCTGAATAGAAGAGCTTCATGTTGGCTGTAAGTGCAGGTTAGATCTAGACGCTTCCCCTCCAAGTATCTGTACATTGACCAAGCTGTCAACTTGTGTGACTGGCTAATTGAAACGAAGCTTTGAGTGAAGGTGACAACTTCAGTTCCTGTGCTCCTTCACCAGGCAGGGCTTTACCAGAAACTCCATTAACCAATTGCTGGAAATGAAATTCAATACAGCACTGGAAGAAAAAAAGATAGCGATAATACAAGGCAGACAGAAAAGAGAAAAGGGGACCACAGGGGGCAAAATAAAACCTTTGTCTGCTGCAAAATTACATTTTCCAGTTCAGTGTTGTTACAGACAGTGCTTTTGTATGACAGGCAGCAGGGTCTGGTCAGCAGTGTCCTGGAACCAGGACTCTGGAAATTTGGCAACTCTCCTCCGGCTTCCCTGTTGCTCCGCTGGTGACGATGAAGAAGACATTTAAATATTAATGGCTGCTTCAAGAAATCTCACATTAATTCTCACCAGCGAGAGAGACAGGTTGTATAACTAGGGGCTGACTGACATGGGATACTCGTTAGGCAAAGACAGAGGCACTAACACTTGCTGACATTTGCTTTCAAACTGATCAGTGTGATAACCCCGTGTGTAACCAAAGTAGCAACATTAGCACTGCATTTTTATCCTGCATCAAAAGCTGCCTTTGTTTTTGCAGTTCAGTACATTCCTATACAAATTCTGTGAAAAATGATGTTACCTGATTGCCTGCAGAAGTGGAACAACTTGCTCTGATTCTGCTTCAATTTTCTAATTGTTTCAGCCAATAAATCAGCATGAATTTACTTTCAGCTGCCATAGATTTTTTAAGAAATAGAATCTTTGGCACCTATTTCTGCAACTTTAATTAAGGTATTCTTCTCAAGTTACAATGTGACTGTTATAATTGCCCTTTTTAAAAAAAAAAGTCCCTCTTTTTTGAGTTGCAACAAATATTTTAAAAATCAGCTTTCTAATGAGGCTAGACTCATATTATTTCTGCTTTTAAAAATACTTGAACAAATGGAATAACTTCTGTTCAAGTTGGGTGTAGCACTGGACAGTCACTACTGGTGAAACAGTATATTTCGATATTAAATAGGTTATCTTAATGAATATATACTATTTAATACTGCGTACTAGCTGAAGTTTCCTAAGAGATCACCCTTTGTGCCGCACAGTAGGAGCTAATGCTGTTCTGCTACGAAATGACAGAAGTTGCAAAGGGGCTACCTAAGCTGTGTGAGTGGTGTGTACCAACAGTCATTATCTGCCAAGGCTGGACATATTCTCTCCACTTTCTGGAGACCAACAGCTAACCTGTTTGTACTACACCATGAGAGGGTGGATTTCTAGTACCTTCTAGTACCTCAAACCTCGGTACTTTTCAGCATCACCTACACTTTGTCAGAAGAGCACAGGAAGGTGGCGAGTACGGCACAAAGCAAGTACAAGTAAGGAAACACAGCAAAGGCAAGACCACTTCCATGCACAGTAAAAAAGCCTGCTGTTTGCAGATAAAGCAAGTAGTCACGAGAAAAAGGTTTTTTAAAAAGTGTATGATACAGAAAAAAAGGAAGGAGGCAAAGGAAAAGGCAGAAATACGTGCAAAACACTTCCAGGAAATAAAGTCAAAAGGAAGAGAGAGGGCAAAAAAAGATTAAAAAGTCAAACAAAAAGACCTTGCAGAATCCTGTTATTTATCATCTATTCTATATGTGAAGACACGAATAGTTGCCTTTCAGGCAACACAACAGCTTTTTACACCACTGCATGAGCTATTATGTTAATGTCTCCTTGTCCAAAATGAATAAACTGCTATCCAGAAAACAAATTATTTATCTTCTCCTACTGTTGTTCTTCCCCTACAATGTGGGGAATCTGTAACCAACATCTCTCCTCTCTCAAAGTCTCTTGAAAAGACTTTTCTGATCTCATGGTTGCAGGGATCCTCATAATTTCTAAAGTACTGCTATGGACCAATGATGATGCTATGGAAGTAAGTTGCAATTAATTAAAGTTATATCCACTTATATTAATGCCGTACCATTCTATATGCAATAGCTCTTTAGATTTAACCATAATGTAGGCATTTAGAAGATAAAAGTATCAGAAAAAGTTCCTAGAAAGCTGATAGTCTGTACTCAGCACTGGTGAGGCCGCACCTTGAGTATTGTGTTCAGTTTTGGTCACCTCAGTATAAGAGAGATATCGAGGTGTTGGAGCGAGTGCAGAGGAGGGCAACAAAGCTGGTGAAGGGCCTGGAGAACAGACGTTATGAGGAGTGATTGAGGGAGCTGGGTCTGTTCAGTTTGACAAAGAGGAGGCTGAGGGGGGACCTCATCATGCTCTACAATTACTTGAAAGGACATTGTAGAGAGGTTGGTGCTGGTCTCTTCTCACAGGTAATTAGGGACAGAACCAGGGGGAATGGTTTCAAGTTGCAACAGGGCAAGTTTAGGCTGAACATTAGGAAGAAATTCTTCACAGAAAGAGTGGTCAGACACTGGAATAGAGGTGGTTGAGTCGCCATCCCTGCATGTGTTCAAGTGTCCCTTAGATGTGGTGCTGGGTGATATGGTTTAGGGGTGAACATGTAGTGTAGGGTTAATGGTTGGACTCGATGATCTCAAAGGTCTTTTCCAACCTGAATTGTTCTATGATTATATTTACACATACGTATTTTAAATATAATACTTACTCGTAAGAATTGTCAGCAAAAATAGGTACTCTGCATAAGATATCAACCCTGAAATAAAGAAGTTAAAAAATGATTTGTGAGAAAATAACACTTAGAGCAAGACTTGAAAGATCAAATCTTACAAATACAAAAAATGCAGTTTAACATCATATTAAATAAGCTATTAAAGAAAGCCACAATATTCTTTAACAAAGTTTCTTCTTGTGTTTTTAGTGCTCCCTATCCAGAGACTCATCAATGTTCACATCTGATGAAGAAAGTGAGGTTTATTTCATATCAATAAAAGGCTTATACTAAATCTTCGGATTCTCACTGAAAACATTCAATGTTTACATAAAAGGCAAATAAATTAAATGTGCTTTGTCACATTTAGTACCTAGGAGGAGAACTACTCCAATGTTACCCCCAAGGATCAAAGTCCTCCATCCTTTGGCGGCCTCGCGAAGGCGGGGAATAGCTTCCCTCTAATTCCCAAGGGGAACATGGCAACAGGCAAAGCTGCCAAGCCGCTAGATTGTGCTGATAGTACCGCTGGGCCTCGTGCCAAGCGGAGGCTGCTTCTTTTTTTTCTTCTTTTTTTTTTAAAATAGGAACACGTCCTTTCTACAAGGTGAAAGTATTTCCCCCCCTTTTGAAGGAAAATTCCAGTGTTTTCCTTTGAAATGCCGCCTTAAGTGAAAAGCCTGAACAAACACAAAGATGTGATAGCGTCAAAATAGAGCGTAGGAGCTAAAGATAGAGAGTGCATAATGAGGGTGGTTAAACAACAGAATCTGAACCATCTGCCCTGCAATAATGTTTGGAGAAAAAAATGTAAAGGGCTTTTTTATAACTCACTTTTCAGAATAACTGAGCTACTTTTAATTTGTGAGCTAAACATTGTGTAATGCAGAAGCTGCTTAAAATAATGAAGTTCAAACATGGCTATCTGTGAAAAGATAAACTATTTTTTATAATTTATATTTAGTTAATTGATAGATAAGGAATCTACTTAAGCTTCAGTGATAAACAATTAACTTCTGATAAATTATTATGCAGAGCCAACAGCATTTGTATTTGACCTCAGATAGTGACTTAACACTTTCAAGTTTTAAGTACCAGAGTTTAAAAATACTAAAGTACTGAATGCAAGAGTGAAAATCTGAGAACAAAACTTAGCTAAAGACAGGGCTAATGCCGATCCTGTTGCCAACTCACTTGAGTTCCATGTCTCAGCTTTCCTCTACATCAAAATAGGGCTAGTCACCCTAATATCCAGCATGCATCATGAGTAAATGAGCACAGTACTACAGTCATACAAACCACTTTGGAAATAAAAAAAATACTTTCATCTCAAAGATTTAGGGTTAGTGCCATTGCCAGAATGTAAATTATTGTTTGCATTGCTGTAACTTGAAATTGTGTTCCTAGATAAAGTGCCCAGGACTTCTATAAATTCAAAACCAGCCAAACAAGAGAAAAAACTCCTACCCCATTTTTTAAACTTATATGCCTAAGTATAAGACAAGATTTTAAAAATGAGTATAAAAAAATAGGGGAGGAAAAGAAATCAAGCAAATAGTGTGATGGGCAGTGACTAAGATTCCCACTCCCTAATTTTGTGTGTGACACAGTAAGAGAATGTTTAAAGGAAGAATAAAGAGGAAGACAAGGAGGTAACTTGTAAAGTCCATTTAGAAAACACCTCCCAGTCATGGGCTGCAATGGTCAGTTTAACCAGCAAGTGATGAAGGCCAGCGTCACTGGCCAAGGAGAGTGGGAGTCTGCCTCTCGGCTGTCTTGAGATGTGCTGCACAGGGATAGTCAAGGGAAGACTTGGAAGGTGAAGACAAGCAGCTTAAGCTAAATAAAACAAGGAGAGCCCAGCGCTGGAATAAAAGAGATGACACACTCAAAGAGTCATGTAAGAAAAACATATTTATCAAAGCATTTAAACGTGGCAGATTATGTTTGCTAAAAGTCAGAGAAAAAAAGTTGCAATAACTGAGATGCAAAGTGTTGACTGCCTGGAGAGTTTTAGTTCTATAGCTAGATGGGGAACATTGTTCCTTGTAAAATTTTGCAAAAAGAATCTGCAGAATTTATACGGAGATGGTATAATGCAAAGACCAATTTAAAGACAACACCCTGCCTATCGGCTCAAGGGAGAAGCATGATGGCTCTATTCACTCAAGTTGTAGAGGGCAGAAAAGAAAAGCCTTGCAAGAAATAGCAAAGGTGGGACACAGACTGTGTTTTCATCATTTTATCGTTATCTCATTGAGAAGCCGCTATAGTGAAATACATAAAAAGGTAAATGTAATAAAAATATGTAAAAAAAATTTTCTTAATTTTTCTTTAAACCCTGTCTCAGTACCTTAAAGCAAATCCACAGCCTCTCTGACACTTTATGGCACACTGATAATTTTATTGTCCTTTTGCTACCTGTAGTGAATGGCCAATCTACTTCATCCATAACGTAAATTAAATATTTCAGTAACTTTCTTTTTATTTTACACGAATTATTACATTACTCAAATTAATATATGTAATGCAACAAATGTAAAAGAATAACTGCAGAACACAGAAAAACTTAATATAGCAAAATTTAAGAGATTAAAACCTCACATACTGCTGAATGATTCAGCATACTTGCAGCCAAGTACTTGCAGTTAGCATTGGCATAATACTGTCATTTTCTAACAGCAAATGAACTTTCCTTGTTTGTCCCTGGAAATCTCTACCCTCAAACTTTATAGCAAATGCTGACAGTACAGTATTCTTAGTGCTGAATAACTAAGAAGTACACCCACAAAATATGACATGAATTTTAAAACTGCCCGCTAGAAGGCAGAATTTCCTAGCGTTACATTTTACAAACTGGACTGGTGACAGTTTTCCCTCTACTTGACATTTAAACAACAATTTCAAGGTATTTAAAATAATCTCAGCTAAACGGTGGAACAGGTGTAGATTTGTTATTCTGGTACTTGTAAAAACAGTACTTCATATATAAATACTTACATTTTTAAAATGTAGTGATAATGTATCTCAGAGTAAAAGTATCAAAGTCACTAAAGAAGCATCATGATCAAAACCTGTAAAAACTCCAGGTGTTCTGGAGGCATATGGCTGACTACCCTGAATGTTCCTACATCATCTTCAACTCCTACCAGACCTTTGAAGCACAGAGTGCACAGCCCCACAGCCCTGCAAGGGAAGATCAGTGCCTTGTCTGGAATACAAAATACACCAGGTTGAGCGTATCACTGAGCCCACTTTCTGCCAAGCAGTCAGCTGGCAGAGGTGCAACGAAAGGAGGCTGCACTGGTTTGCTCTGTTTTCACTTTCTCTTGGTGCACTCCTGCTCTTCCCAGGGAGAGTGCTTTGGGGATCTGTAGCATCAACCATTAGAAAAACAAAGGCTCTAAAAAAGCAGGGATAGAGAAAAAATATCCAAGCATTAAAGACTGGGAATCTTTTAAACCCAAACCAAGGAAAATGCATGATGATAAGCAATGTGAAAAGGTAGGGAATGACTATCAATACAAAATCCAGCCTTCCCTAGGACAGGAAAAAAATGTTCAACTTTGTTATAGAAGGCATATAGAATTTGTTCATCAAATTTTATGCTGTGCTAGAAATGAAGTTGTTTAGGCTACACTATCCTGTTAAGCAAACATAATCTTCCCCAGCACCAAGGTCAGGCTTGTACACAGGGGGAGCTGTCTAGCACCAGCTGCAAAAGAACAAAGACTAGCAGGATGGACTCACTGTAAGAGTATATAAAAACAAAAAATAATTGACAAGAACCTAGTGATAAAGGACCATCTGGTGATGAAAGGCCCCTGTGGAATTCGAGGACAAAGATATCTTAAGAAATGTGCTGCGAGCAACTAGTTTTTGAACCAAGGTAAAAGTTTATCGTGAGGAAGACCTACGGCCTTCATTCCTGAAGACCCCTGCCCAAGACTACCAGGAGGCACTGCGCAGGTGTCAAGAGGAGGAGCAGCCGACCAACATCTAATGAATATGTAATTTTCTCTGCATATAACCAAGGTATCTGCCCGTGCACGGGTGCAGCTGTGGTATGAGCACTCCTGGTGAGAGCTGCTCCCCGCTGCCCAGCGCTGTTTTGCTTACTCAGCCGCTTGCTAAATTTAATAAATTTTATTAATCACTTAAATTCTAAATTGGCTCCTGGGTTTTATTCCCTCAATTTATAACAAACTTGTTCAGAGATGTTTCAGGGCGGCTGGGGTATACTGGGGCTTGCAGGAATGGACTGACAAGCAAGGCACCCAGCTGAAAACCCCTCCATGTCCGTATAAGGGTGCCAGAAACGAACTGCAGGCAGAAGAGGCCACGAGGCCAAGGGGCAGGTGAGACGCTGCAGGTTGAGGTCGAGGGCTGCTCTCTTGGCACAAGCTGCCAGCCACGCCCGGGGAACCTGCTGTGCATGCAGAGAGCGTGGTTCATGCCTGCCAAGGAACTGCAGCAGTGGAAAGGCAGCTTTATCTTCCAGAAGCTCTGCGGGATAAGGCATTCAGGCTGAACTCTACGATACAGAAAGTTTGTGAATAGACCCTGTCCGTCTTTCTCATTAGTTTGGGGATTTCAGTCTTTGTTCCTGGTGAAATGGTCAATTACTTCTCTATTTGGTTTCCTTGATCCTCTTGTTTGTTTTCTCCCTTCAATTAATTTATGTTAATGATGTGTTTATTTGGTGTTCTTTAACTCCCTGTTGTTATACAAACAATATCTCAGCTTGCACAGTTTTCTCTGGCTGTGTGCCAATATAAGTTTGAAATGCTGGGTGAAAAGAAACCAGAACATCGGTGCTGTGAAGGGCCACTGAACTCCTGAAGAGGGAGAAAAAAGTTCAACTGCTCTTGGTATCAGGGGTGCCATTTTACATAACTAGATATGAATTTTATTTAGATTTTTAGTTTCTGTGCATTTAAATTACATAGTGAAACAGCAGCTTGTTAACAAGTCTTAAAAGTCCATGTTGCGCTGAAATCATGTCTCTAGCCCCTTTCTATTCTCCAGCCCTTTTCTATTCTCCAAGCAGGCTTCCTGATTTCCTTCACATCTCATCCTGCACCTTAGAAGGCCTTCTGTTCCCTGCCTCTTTACTCTCCCTTGCATAACTGAGAGATCTGCCAAGGAGGCGGCTACTGGCTAGATGGGAATGAAGTCAAATCCATGAAAACATCTTTAAAAATACATTCAGTTCATACTACATAATGAGACAAAAAGCAAGATGTATTTTTCAGTATCAAAAGTGCTCAATACCTTTATCATCAAGTGCTCTAAAAAAGGTCGGTCCTGGTTTAGCTTTGGCAACACACTGCAGTGCAGCATCTACCTCCTTTAAAGACACAAACAAGAAAATATAAAGCCAGTTTTAAAAGAGAAGTCTATTTAGTTGGGTAACAGAAAGAATGCAAGTTCTTTTGAAGAAGGAAAGGAACATTTTGCTTACCTTTTTTGTCAGTTTCTTGGCTGAGGCTTTACCTATAATAAAAAAAATCACCATCATTCAATAACAAACTGACTTTAAACTTTGATCATGTTCTGTGCCATTTTTTCACATTCTTATGTGAAAATGCTAAGTAATATGAAACAGAATATTTTGCAGCAGACAGTTCATTTCTAATTCCCACAACGATCATTAAAGGACAACATTTAAAAATAATATGAGCAGTCTGTTCAAACGTTCTTGCAAAGTACAAGAAACCACAGCATACTTTGGTATCTGTGACTGACTTACTGGTGTGATTTTGTGTATTTTCTACAAATGCAGTACAGATTCCAAAGCAAGTTTATACAATAAGTAACAACTATAGTATTTACAAAGGGATTTGTACGCACACATGGTAATCCTTCAAGTGCATGTTGAGTATGCAAAAGCTAAGAAACACTGAATAAACATTAAAAGAGAAAAAAAGAGTGAAAATGTTGCTGTTTCTATGAAGCACAAGTAAACTGAACAAATCTGCCTCCTGAAAGAGCATCAGATGAAACCATGCAAACTCCAAAGTTTTTATGAGTAGGTTCAAGCCCATACACTTAAACAGGGGAGCCCTAAGCAGCAGTACAGGTTGTATTCCTTTGTAAATCACCCATGTGAGGAGCAGTGATGTATAATCAGTGCAACATTTTAGCTGGTTAGACAGGGAACACAGAAATCCTGTGGTCATAGACTGGAAGGAGCTGCACTCTGCTCCTTCTCAGCCTCCTTGTCCCATCACATCGCCCTGTCCCCTCAGTGTTTCTCCTCATACAGTTCTTAAAACCATGTGTCTTTCACCACTCTCAGCTCATCGCTCCCTTCCTTTGTCACCAGTTCCTCTGGATTCCAGCCAGCCATTCCCTCCTGTTTATTCACACTGTGTAAGAAGAACCTGAGCTGCTTGCCTTTGCTTTGAGGAATGGTGTCCCTGTATGCAGCAGCCTGCTTTGCTCCGTGCTCAGACTCCAAGGCTTGCTCTGCTTCTTCACTGGCATCTTGCACCCCAAGGGTCACCAGCTCAGCACTGCTATTTGGAAATGGGCATGATGGAGACAGCCCCATAAGCATCTGTCAGCAAACCTCTACCAAGCAATTTTCACAGGCACATAATTTAGACAGAAAGAGGTGCACTCTCAGTAACAATGGATTTCCATAATGCTGGCAAAAGACATGCCCAGGTGCAGGATTTCTTCACTTGCAACTTTTGGCTTTGGATTAAGGAAGCTGCTAGAACATCTCAACCAGCAATAGTTCATTCTTCAGCAGAGGCAAACCAGTGCCCTGGCCTCTGCTCCCTGAACTGGCAGTAAAGTTTTGCTGATAAATTCCTCTCCCCACTCCCCAAATTAGCCTAAGGCAGACACCTGGCACATAACATTTCAAGCCGAATGTTTAAGTTTGACAAAAGTTATAAGCAACTAAAATTAGGGTTTTAATACTGGAGTGTTGAGTGACCCCGGCAACAGGTGTTGTCAGCACCACCTGTTCCTGTGGATGAATACATTTTTGTGCAGTGCCTGTACATATATTTACACTCATATACACACATATATCTAAAGCTACATAGTTACCTTCTAGCTCAAAGGATGTATGAAATCCTCTACTTTGCCTCATCTGAGATAGAAGTCAGACTAATAACAGCTCGGAAGAACAAGCAAAAATCACTACATCCACTAAGGCTGAGTCCTGAGCAGCACGGTGTTAACACCACAGTTTAATGCTGTTCACCACTGCAGAGCATTTTAATGAACGGCTGTCTAGCAAATTAAGTGATTCAGATTTCAGCTTTGAAATGTCACCTCCTCTGTACAGTGTATTCCAAAGTGCAATTAAACTACAGCAGCTCTTTCGGCTCGGGGAGACCTACATGGTGAGAAGCCTTATAGGATGAAATGAGTCAGGCTGTAGGTCTGCGAAAAACAGTATCTGAAGGAAAAAATGGGAAACCACCCTGCAGGGATTTTCTCTGTAAATGATCTCTGTAGTTGTCTGATTTGAAGCCAGCCATGCACTCTTACTTGATTAACCACGGCTCCACTCATTCCTTTCTCCTGGTGGCCCTAATGAGCCCCATGTCTGGGATAGCAACTGCTACAGCTGCAGTGCACTGGGCAGTAATCCTGTTGCCAAAATCCAGGAGGATGATGAAGGAGAAAAGCTGAACTCTTGAGAGCTGGAACAGCGAAGGCATGAATCATTGATGAAAGGTAAGGAGAAAGCACTGGGAGCTACAGCTGAGACACTAGCAGGCCATATTCGTGAGGCTCTACATGTGGTGAAGTCCATGCTTCTCTTCGTGATGCTGTATTCAGCACAGTAACTCCGAAACACTTCAGCTATCCAGTTCTAGGGAACATAACGTCAGTGAAAATTATCCTACCATTATAAAAATTAAGAAAGGGAAGGAAAATCTGTTGCAGACATATGGGCCCTCTTTTCAGCAGCCCTAAGTCACAATTGCAACTGCCTGGAGCCCATGCACATGGCTGCGGCACCCATCAACGTCTGCCCTTCTGCATTCATCACGCTCCAGAGGACGTTTAAAATGTTGACATGCTGACTGACCTCTTTCAGAGATGATCAGACAGCAACAACAATGATACAGAGGTGCTTACGCTACCCTTGACTGGGGAATCCTGACAAGGGTGAAAGGATGAGGAGAGGAGAGGGAGAGGGAGAGGGAGAGGGACACAATTGGCTCCAGAGACGGGGACAGGGAGAGGGACGGGGACAGGGAGAGGACAGTCACATCACCCCAGGAGAGGAGGTCCTTGCTGAGCAGAAACAGAGAAGGAGGAGAAGGAGGAGGACAGTCACATCACCCAGGACATGGCAAGGGGCCGAACAAGGTGGGTGAGAGTGGGTCCCTGCCACAGCTGACTACACAAGGGGAACCTGCTACAACAGAAGAGGAGAAAAGGCAGGAGGGAAAGGGACAGATTGAGAGGTAAACAAAGACATTAGCATTTTCTAAGACATTTGCTTTTCTAAGAAGTAAATAAATATGGAGCCTTTTAACACTGCCTTTCCCAAACAGGCTTCAAAATGAAAAGATTTAATAACCTAGTCAAACAAAAATGGCATACAGATGTTATCAAGCACATGTATCAGTAGGCCAGGATTTTTTTGAAAAATACCCTGACCTCTGGGACATTAGAGTTATTTTTCATATTGTCATGTATTAGAGAACAATCTTATGGTTATAATCATTAGGAACTATTTAATCTAATAAGTAAAAGATCTGCACAATGCACTTTTCTCTAGTTTTGTTATTTTACCCTGATAGATTCTTACCAATAGGTAAATTAATGATGTTAGAAAACTTGTTAGTAGTAGTAACAGTCTTACTTTGGTATCAGAAAAAACAAAACAACTTGGAATTTTTATTCTTTTGAACTTGAATGAATAGGAAGAAAAATTACTTTTTGTTCCCCCCCCCCTACAGATCTACCAAGACTGTGATGGAATTCTCACATAGAGGACAATGAGTATTTTCAAGGGTCTCTACATCTCTCTCTCATCTAATTTTCACCATCTATAGTGGATCCATGAAACAATGAAGTGCAGACACACCGTTCAAGGACAAAAAGACATTTCAGCTTTTTGAATGAATACCAAGTCTCCTTAGAAGCCAAGAAAGTTAGCTGACAACTGCAATGAAGAAAAAACTACCAAGAGCAGCTACATCAGCCTCAAGTTGCCCTCGGCAAACCTGAGTATTTTGTCACATATATTTCTTACAACAGGAATGTTTCCATCATCTATCAGTTTTTACGCTATGATGTAGAACGGACTCAGCATTAATGTCAGGATTAACATTAGAAAAAGGCTGAATTAAACAAGTACCCACCTGCACTCACTAACACCCATTTATACCTGAATAGCTAAGGAAAGGCTTAGATCTGACAAAAGATGTTTAGAGCCAAAGAATGAACAAAATGACTAAGATCAACAATTATAACAACAGTAACCAAATGCCAAAGCAAAAGAACTCACTACTATCTGCAAGAAAACATAATTTTACATGTCTGCGAGATTGCTCTATTTTTGTAATATGGAAATAAAAATTGATTTTTCAATCAATGTTTCCCCAGAGCCTTAACTTAAAATGACAACAGTATAAAACAGGCACCTTCTCATAGGAGGACTACCAACTCCTTTTATCGGCAAAGTCATTGAGATGGTTTGACCAGGATCTCTTTTTAGCTCCATTCCAGACAACAAGTGATAAAGAAGTTTTTAAAAAAAAATTTGTCTTCCCAGTTTTTTAATTTTAGATAGCAATCACTGCTATCTTTGCTGAAGCTTGGCAAGTTCAAAGTCATACTGGGGTATTAGGAAACCATTTGTTTTTTCATATAAAACTAAGACGAGAACAGTGTTAAGCATGTCACAATCCAAACAAATTCTGGGTCTGCAAAATGAGTGAAACGAGCTGGATGGGATTTCAGCACAGTTGTAATCTGAGGATCAGGGCATTTTAAAAACCAAAGCCGCTGTCCGCAGCTCATGCTGTGGCCTTTAAGGCAGAGCCCACCCTGCAGCCTTGCCTGCCAGCGGAACAAGAGTTTGCATTTCCCAGTTTTAGCTGACTGCTGGCTTTCACACAAGCTGAACTCTGAGAATCCTGCCCTGGCGAGCTGAGTTAGATAAGAATCATGTATGCTGATTTCCTTGGGGAGATGCCATTAACATTTTTGGTTTAAATTAGCCTAAAATAGAAGATCATTGAAATTCAATAGCTTCATTCCCAGCGATCTCAGATATTTTTTATGATACTGCACAAGTACCTTATCTCAGCAAGGTGTCCTTTGTTTACCTACCTTATTTATGTTCTAAACTCTTTAAAGCTCTTCTACACATTTATAAATACTTACTGATAATGAAATCAATAATATAAAGGGGAAAAATGCAAGCCAGCAATTAGTTTTTTAAGGCTTCCTTTTGAAATATTGGTGATACTGGAGATAAATCAATGATAGAAAAAAAAATTAAGGCTTTT